CGAAGCCATGATAAAGAATCAACAGGGCGGATATCCGCACCTCTCTTGCCAAGTGGATGCCCCATAGAGTGCCGTTGCATTTACCACTGGAATGGTCTTCCCCATAAAGTGAAAGTCCAGGAACTCAGGAGGTGAGACACCCAATCGCACACTATGATTGGGGTCCCTTACTTTCACGCGCCAAGGCTCCAAGGGCAGCCCGCCGCTACCGGTGTGAGACGAATGGCATCGAGCAGAAAAGCGCTTCGCCCGGAGCACGCGACTGAGGCCTGGTTGCAACATGTGTGGAGCAACCACGTCCTGTTTTGTCGGGCAAGGCGAAAAGGATGGTATTGACACAATTGTGGATTAAGCAGGCTTAAACAACGAGTGGTCCCGTCCAACTCTGCCACGTGAGTGACAGTAGGACTGTGATGGTTGCGATATAAGCATGCTTGCTGGAATGCAACATTGATAGGAAACAATCTCCTACAATATCCTACTACCCAGATTGGTCAGGCATCAATGGAGAAATAATCTCGGGTCTCCACTTCCGGTGGTCAAGAGGATCCCCGTATGTCAACAAACACTGTTTGTGACGATGTCCTTGCTGCTTGGCATCTGAAGCAAGCTTACTTTGCCTTTGAGGGGCATAGCCGCATAGCTTCTCAGGCTCTTTATCTGTATTATTCAGTGAGTAGTTGAACTTTCAAGCAGGAAGCAGCCGCAGAGTTGGCCTCTGATACAACTTGAGCCTTTCCGGACTTGCAGCCACCAAAGAAAGCTTGAAGCCAAACGTCTTAGCCTTTCCATATCGCCCGATCTAGAAAACGCAACACGGCTGCGATGAACAGGCAGCTTTGTGCCTCAAAAAGTCTTATCCCAGTCAGATATTCAACACAGGCAAAGTTCTATAGACACCAAAACCCCCGGCCCCTACCTGTTGAGAGAATGTAAAATGATACTATAATAATATGCCTCTCTTAGTTGAATGGCAAATCAGGAAACAACGCAGCTGCAGCATATCTAAGTTGTCTAAACGCTCTGGAATCATAGCGCGCCACAACAGCTGATCAGCACAAGTGCACCAGGACCCTCATTGCCAAATCTATGAAACGAACACATCGCATGGGCAACATGTGCCTCTCGTGTGTGTGTGTGTGTGTCTATCCGTTCAAGTTCAACGGGAAGCACAATCTCACCCCCAATGCCAATGCAAACAAAGCGAACAATGATAATGATTGATTCTGACTTGCAGAAGCTGCAAAAGCAAGTGCCCTTCAGGGGCCTCCAAACAAGCAAAGGAGGAACTGCTCGAATGTCACAACTGCTTGGCTAGAATGGCCTGAACCTTTTGGGTACCCACCGCGAAGCTGGCTGGGACTTGCGGCTCCGATACAGAATCGGAAATCACTTTACAGACCCTTTGACTGGTTGGTGTGCGCCCCCCTTACGTGGAACAACACTCAGTCGCAAGTTCAGCGCACTATGGGGAACAACACTACAGCAAACACTCTTCCACAGAAGCAAGGTGGAACTTAAACTTCACAACCCTTGGTATGGAAGCAAAAGCTTAGTTTTTGCAGCCCCCTACTTTCCATGAACAGAACCCAAGAGCCAAAAAAAACAAAAACAACCTGCCAAGAGAAGTGAAGAGAATGTCGCGCCAACCGGGCGTTTCTTCCTGAGACCTGCAGGCAAATTACCCCAGCTCCTCCGACAAGAGCCAGCTCTGGATGGAGTGGCAGTGATAGCCTTAGCCGTCATCTCGAGGCGTGTACGTGTATACCTCTAGTTATGCAAAGTCTGTATAAGTAGTGGGGTTGAGAAACTGCAATGTAATGTGATGCCACACACTATAATGCATGTACTGTACGTATCTATGTATGTCTGCATGCACTGCATTGCATTGCATGCATGCACTCTTGTAGTGCAATGTGATGTAATGTGCGGCCATGTAGTTCAGTGCATTTCTGCAAGCATCCCTACACAAAATAAACAACAATAATCAAATCAAATCGATCGATCGATCGATCGATCCATCCATCCATCCATCCCTCCCTCCCTCCCTCCCTCCCTGCCTCTCCCTCCCTCCCTCCCTCCCTCTCCCTCCCTTCGTCCCCCCCTCCCCTCCCTCCCTCTCCCTCCCTCTTCCTCCCTCTCCCTCCCTCTCCCTCCCTCTCCCTCCCTCTCCCTCCTCTCCCTCTCCCTCCCCCCTCCTCCCCCTCCCTCCCTTCCCTCCATCCCTCCCTTCCTCTCCCTTCCTCCCTCCCTCCCTTCCTCTCCCTTCCTCTCCCTCCCTCTCCCTCCCTCTCCCTCCCTCCCTTCATCCCTCCCTCCCTCCCTTCGTCCCTCCCTCACCTCCTCTCTTTCCCTCTCTCCCTCCCTCTCCCTCCCTCTCCCTCCCTCTCCCTCCCTCTCCCTCCCTCTCCCTCCCTCCCTTCGTCCCTCCCTCCCCTCCTCTCTTTCCCTCCCTTCCCTCCATCCCTCCCTTCCTCTCCCTTCCTCCATCCCTCCCTTCCTCTCCCTTCCTCTCCCTCCCTCTCCCTCCCTCTCCCTCCCTCCCTTCGTCCCTCCCTCCCCTCCTCTCTTTCCCTCCCTTCCCTCCATCCCTCCCTTCCTCTCCATTCCTCCATCCCTCCTTCCTCTCCCTTCCTTTCCTCCCTCCCTTCGTCCCTCCCTCCCTCCCTCCCTCCCTCCCTCCCTCCCTCCTCCCTCCCTCCTCCCCTCCCTCCCTCCCTCCTCCCCTCCCTCCTCCTCCTCCTCCTCCCTCCCTCCCTCCCTCCCTCCCTCCCATGAATCAGACAAACGGCCAATGCGATCCAATCCAACACAAGCAATCCACTGAATCAACTAAACCAATGGAGTGAACTCAATCAACCAACCAACCAACCAACCAACCAACCAAAACAAACAAAACCCCAGACAACCAACCAACCAAACCAACCAAACCAACCAAACCAACCAAACCAAACCAAACCAAACCAAACCAAACCAACCAAACCAACCAAACCAACCAAACCCAACCGACCGACCGACCGAGCGACCAACCAGCCAACCGACCAACAAACCAATCAATCAACCAATCAACAAATCAACCCAATCAATCAACCAATCAATCAATCGATCGATCAATCAAATCAAAAGGGAGCAAAAGGAAAGCAACCAGTTTTGGGGAACCCAATTTTAAGAAACATGCAAATGTAAACCAAAACAATGAAAGGAGCTGATTGATACGAGGCACTGCACATCCTTCAAAGATTGTCACGTACATACGCCACTTGGTTTAAACAACTTGGCAACTTGGTGCTCGGAAAGCAGCCTAAGTGTTTCTATCACCTTGCTTAAAACACGGTATACGGAGGCACATGCACTACAATTTTGGCAAATGTTGTGAGACCTGTAAAGGATTGGACCCCCAAAGGATCTACATGCGTGTGACTGCGTGTGTCTTGTTAGGAATCGGCTCCCCAAAAATGGCTTTGGTGTTCCTTGTGTTTTTCCCTTCGAAAAATACCAAACAACAAAACGACGAGCCACCCATATGGGTCGCTCCCAGGAAAATTGCATCTGTGATCCTCTTGCCTCCCGCGACCGACTTGAAATCCAAGCAGCGGTAGCCAGCTTTGCCACTCTCCTTGGGTATCCTGAGGCGAAGCACTTCCGGTATCTTACGGCTGACAGCCGGAAGATCCCCCGAGCCTCTGTAAATGGGATGGGCCACCCAGTCCAAATGGCGACTGGAGGGTATCCATGTGGAAGATCCAGCGACAGAACCCTTCCTGGAGCTTCCTTCTCCCAAAACAAGACAAGCGAACTGGCTACGAGCACGTGCAAACGCAGCGTGTGGGAGAGATACCGTGCTTGATTTTTATCGCTTCTTGGCTCAGCTGAAAATTTGGTGCCAGGTGGACAACACGCACCCCGCCCCCATAACTTGCCGGGTTTAGGTTGAGTCTGGGCTTTGCCACCATTGTCTACACCCAGAAAAGCCATTCCGGCGCCCGGAAGGATACCCGGATTGGACATGCACTGCTCGTGCCACCTTTGCGAAGCCGTTTGGGGACCCAAAGCTTGGTCAATGTTCGCCACTTGGATTCAATCCTTGGCTACCGTCTATGCGAAAACATAGCTTGTCAGCATACATTAAGATTTATCAGAAACAAACTCAGTATCATCATTACCTAAAAACCACATTCACAACAATGCTTAATATTCTCAACTATATTTCCCTGCTTTGATCATTTGCACAATGAGTTTGATCAGCACTACGGAAGCTTGAAGGATGCCATCCAAGAGCTGCCCCAGGATTCAAGAGCTACATCCCACATCTTGTAGTTTTCCCGGAGTTTGACTACGGGATTGGAGGTTCTCAAAATTCCCAGGATGAAAAATTGAGATGATTCCTAAATCCGCCTATGTTACATCTTGCGTCATTTTGCCAGGCTGTTCGCCCACGGCAGATCACGGGCAGTTGTTCCATTTACCATTCCGCCCCTTAACATGGAATCTGACGCTGAGGGCTCCTGGCTGGGACCATCTTCCTTCAAAATGGAACCCCTGGTCAGTTCCATGGCAACGCGGGCCGCAGGGTAAGTGGTACTGTGGATGGACGAAATCCTGCGCCACCCAAGAAACCCTGAAATGATTCGATTCCCCTGTAAATCCCAACAAATGGCTTCCCATGGCTTCAAAGTGGAGGATTTTGCCCATCAGCCGCCCAAAGCTGAAGCTGTCGGTCCTGAAGTCTTCGAAGATTTGCACTCCGTCCATGTCTTTGGTGCGGCTGTGGGCATTCCTCAGCCAAAGAAAACCATATGGGTTGTGGGTCAAAACCGTTTTCAAAACCTAAGGGGCCAAAAATGGGGATGGTTACCGTATTACCACTCCACTGTTGTCTTTTTAGAAGGCTTTCTGGGTGTTCACCGGGGTACCGGGGTTTTGACCCAATATGATGTTCAGCTCAAACCGCAGGCTCTTGAAGCATCCACCTGAAATCATGAAACATCGCGGGCGGAACCCCTGCACCGTACTTATCAAGCGAAACAGATGGCCAAGATTCGTATTTCTACGCCATGGTAATGGCTTCCTTAAACGGAATCCTCAATCCTCGCATTAATGGTCTACACAACCTTGAACACTCGTTATCTCACTTCATGAAAGGGATGGGCAAAAACCAAATGAACTTCTGATTCGCCCTTAAAATGGTCCAAACCCCGAAAGTGACTCACTCAAAGTGAGAAACGCAACTCGAGTGAGCTAGGCTCTGTCACGTTGAGCCCCCTGCCACGCCATGGATCCCAGGCTCTCCGTGCCCGAGTCCCCGCCCAGGAAGATCTGAGTCGGGCTGCGCATCCGGTCCGTCTTTCGCGGAGGGTTTGGGGATGCCCTGAAAGCTACCTGCATGGACCCTAAAAGTTCCAACTAGAAACTGGATTATTGCAACCCAAACTTGTGGGGTGAATTAACTTTTTACGGGAAGTTTCAGGGTCCAGGTAGGCACCACGAGTCGGGTGCTGTCTTGGATTCCCGAAGATCCTGGAATGGCCCCTCAGTGAAGATGAGGTCTATGGTCTTTTGAGAAAATTCCCGAAAACCCCGGAACCAAGTGAAGATGAGGTCTGACAATTACCAACTTGAAACCGGCATGCGGGTGCGTAGTTTTTGCTGGGATGTCCTGATGCGGCGGGAGTGGGTGACATCCATCTTGTGGGCAAGTCTCCAAATTGGGGAAACCATATGGCTGTGAGTCAAAAACAGGGTACCCAAAATGGAACCCTGGTGAATGGAACCAAGGACTAAAATCTGCGGCCCCCTGCTGGTTTAATTTTGACCCACACCCATATGAAATGGGCGTCCTTCCCTTCAGCCCACAAGGGGTACCAAAAATGACCTACGTCCTCAGTCGCCGCTCTCTGTGTTGGCCGTAAAGCTTCGTGGGACAAAAACGGGCCCCGGCTGGTGCGGAATCTGGCAGATGGAGGCCGCGGATAGGCCAAACACAATATTCTGTTTCAACTCTGGTGGATTCCATGTTAGGGAGGACAATCAGTGCTTGCCAAGCACAGGGAAGTCCCCAGTCTCAGCCGAAGCCAATCATTCTGCACGAAACTTGAAGCCATGTCCCATGGCGACCAATCATACCACCATGTGCATGCAGAAACAAATATATATATATATATATATATATCTACATACATACTTGCGTACATATATATATATATATCTACATAAATATGCGAGTTCATCGCCACTCGTTATTCCCTCTCCCCATCTCCCAAGCATGTTGCCTTTCCTCGTCTCACTTGTCGGATTCCGACTCTGGACAGCAAGCTTGAGTCACGCCCAAGAAAAGGGCAAGGAACAGAAACACACGCAATCCAAGAGACCAGATGGGACCTGAGATCTCTTGACGCTCGCGCCTCCACATGACAGATCTTGCCGGAGGGGCCACCCTCATCGAGCTCCTGGTCAGGTGCAACCAGTGACTTGTTCAATGGGTTGAGCCATTTTTAAAAGGGGGGAACCCGGCCAAACAACATGGTAGAACCGGGATCCACTGAACAGCTGGGCCTGTTGGGATCTCTCGGACACGAAATTGAGCGGGAAGCTTCTCCTAGGAGATATGTTTGAAGGGGCGATGATGTATTTGAATGATTGATCTCCAACCACAACAGGGGTTCCTCCACATAGCGTCGAAAGACTATTGTCTGAAAGAGTTGCATTGGGAAATCCAAGTCTCAGAACATGATTGCTTCGACACATTCACCGGCTCGAATGAGGGTGTGCTTCAACACACTTAGGCCACACTCTCATTCCACACAAGCAGAAGGGAGACAAACAAGACTTTGATATTCGGCTCCCATTGAATACATCACTATATGTGATAATATGTGACTATGTGATTCTATTCGGGCCCTAGTAAGCACGACAAACACACGAAAGACCTACCTCGTAGAAGACGAGGTCGCCCGGCTCACAATCCTCCGGGTCCTGCCCGAGCCGTTTGCCGAGCCGGGGCTCGGAAGCCGGTGGCGACGGGAAAGTGGGCGTTGGTTGCTTCTGCCCCATACTCCAAGGGAACCCTTTCATCCAAGCCAAGCCCCCGGATGAATTGGGCTCAATACTCAGGGGTCAACATTTCTCCAATGACTTCGGTTTCGATGGCTCATGTTAGGACATTTCCGTAAGGGCGATCCGGCTGGGCACATTGTGTCACATGGTCCATTTCCTCGCAACGCAGCCGTCCAGGTGTTCAGGCAGCCGAAGCTTCACACTTCTCACAGCATAAACATCTCGGAGTCCCTGCGACGGCAAGCCACGAATCTTCCCGGATCGACGAAGGAGTTGTTTCTTATCTAATCAAGAATGCTGCGAATTTCCGTGTTTAACTTTGACTTTGCGATTTATGGTTTGTTTTCGTGAAAGGCAACCCTCAGACACGCGGAAAAAAAGAAGAAGGAAAAAACATAGCCATGCAAGTGGCATATTCATCATGAATTTAAATGGATATCTGTCTGCTCTCCTTGAATCACCCATGTTCAACTGGGCACCCTCAAGTGAAATAGCTAAGCTCCAAAATTAGGAACTCTCATTCCGTGTCTTGCGATGCAGAGTGGCTCACTACACATATCAAGTTCCAACAGTGTGTCAAAACCATCACACCTGACACCGGCACGTTCCAGATCGGGAAATATTTGTAAGGATCTCATTTTGCTAAGTGTCTTCTCCAGTTCCCCAGACCTGTTACAATCCAGGAAAAAGCTGCGGGCGTCTGGACCATGTCCCCGTTTGTGTTTCCTTTTGCTAGCACCCAGCATGGAGCAGGAACATCCCGAGTTGTGCTGCCTTTCGAACCAAAAACAAAACTACCAGCCGGTGCCTTCCTCGACCTCGGCCCTTTTTCGGTGCCCGCCTCAAAAGACACCGGCAGCGTCCGTCGGCAGTGCCTCGGCAAGCCGCCCGTCCAGGTCCGGCCACAAATCACGGGAGTCAACCCTCCCGTTGAGGAACCGCCCTCGGGGGTTCCTCCAAACGGGTATGGGTCAAAATTAAACCACCAGGAATTGGACCGCAAGTTTTGGTCCATGTTTCCACTTACCAGGGCTCCGTTTCGGGTACCTATTCTTGACCCACAGCCAAATAACGCCAACACAAGGCTGCAAGTTGCGGGGGGGAGGCCTTGTGATATTGAAACATGTGACACATCATGCGGGTGCGCATCAAAGGGCGAGCGTCTCCGGGAATTTTGTGAGCCTGGCATCGCCGTGGCATCGCCTTGGAGCATGTGAAAACCACTACATCTTTCCCCTGAAGCCCTCGATCGGTCTGCTAGAACATGACGTTGCCTCGATCTGCGCAAAATCGGGGGGGGGGGGGGGGAGGCGGGCGGGGGAGGCCTTTGAGGGCATTGAACCAATCAAGCAGGACCCGGGTGTCCCACTAAGGTACCGGGAATTCAATCAACCGCCCTTGGCAGTCCTTTTGCTGGCTTCGTGAACCAGGGCGCATTTCTTGGCTTCAACGAATGAATGAATGAATGAATGAATGAATGAATGAATGACTGAATGAATGACTGAATGAATAAATGAATGAAGGAAGGAAGGAAGGAAGGAAAGAAGGAACAAACGAACAAACGAACCGCTGAACCAACGAACAAACCAACCACCCAAAGCACTCAACCAGCGAGCAAACCAAGCAGCCGCCGCCAATCAAACAAACGAGCTGCAAATTATTCTACATTATGGTTTGGCCCGGGAATCGGCAGGTACTGCAACCTTCTAATCTGCAAACTCTATCCTGTCAATGCTATTGACCAAAAGCACCGTCTATTCCAAGGACAAGCATCATGCTGCATCTCACGTTCCTTTCGCAAACGTGTTTGTCCGTTGCCTAGCCAAAGGAGAAGTGCCCCCAACCAGGCTCGGCCCACCCGCTGTGCACCCAAATTCTGGGCTCTCAACTGCCCCCCGACAACACTTTACAGGAACCCCCAAGTCTCGCATTCTCGGGTGAATCGAATCGGGCACTTCGAGCTGAGCGACTGGGGCTTGCAGTTCGAGATCAGCAGAAAGCCAAAGTCCTCCCCGGAAACCAGGCAAGAGCCGTCTCCGCCGGGAAAAAACACAACAAAAACAACAGCATCTGGGGCTTGTCCCAAAATCTGGAAAGTCTGTGGCATTGTCCAAAATTCTCCAAAAATCGGTGGTGTTCCTGGCAAACAAAACAAACAAAATATGGTTTCCCTGTTCAGATTTCTCAATACAGGTGGTTTCCCTGTGGTTCTATTTCACATTCCACAGGCTCTCTCAAATTGAAGACACATGCATCTGGCATCTGGCAGTGTTTGGGTATCCTAATGGATCCAAATCTTGTTGACCAGCCTTTGGTAGTCTTTCATCCCCAAGTGACAAAGCGTAGTCGCTAATCCTACCACTTGACCTGGAGCAACAAAGCCTGTGTTCATTCCCGGCACCATATGGGGGTCTTGCTTTGTTGAGGGTGCCCTTGTTTGAATGATGTTGAAGGGGAGGGCCCCCTAATTACAGAAAGACACACCCAGGTTGGGAGGTCCCCCATGGTTTTTGAGGCTCGCTGTCTTCCCTTCCACAGGTGGGTTGTGCACTTGAACGCTTTGGTCCATGGCATGTGTCAGAGACACCAAAAAAGAAATCGGGACCTTGCAGCGACCTGTTGGAAACTCTAACTTCTTCCCGTACGCTTAACCAAACCTTTTGGGTTCCTAGGGGCCGTAGGAGTGATCTCAACAGGACATGAGGCACCAAGGCCAGAATTGCTTCTTCGCTGATAAGGGGGGCCCTTACTTTGAGAAAAATCCAGATGCATATGAATTGCCACGCTTCAAAAGAAAACGTCAAGTTCCGCGTTCACAGGAAGGGGGGTTTTTCGAAGCACTTGTTCAAAGCGCCGCTGCTGGCGTTCACAGCTCAGTTCCTTCAACTCCAATAGAAGTCTGAGGTCCGCCACCCCAAGCAGCGATTGTCCTCTTCACATCGTATGCAAAGGGCATGAACCAGAACAGAACTCCGAAGCATGACCAGTAGATTGCGTTGAGAGGCCAAGCACTTGGAAGACTCTCCGCAACCTTTGTTCTCGCGGAAGCGATGCTGGCGATGCTCGCTCATGAACATGTCCGAACTTTCCATGGGTGAAGCAACCTCCCGTCCTCACCCAGCTTCCAAAGTCCCAGTCCGCAGCTCTTGGACGCCTGCTTGCAGTACTAGACGTCACAAAGGAAGCGAAGCTTCATCGTCAAGGCTCTGTGATCAGCATAGGACTTCCTGGCGCAGGAATATCGAGCTGTGAGTAGGAGCTTGGAATCGAAGTCGAGTCCAGCAGGTACCGCCATGGGCTTATTCAAAGTCTCTTTGCTTCGACTGAACCATTTGCCATCAATCTCCCCGTAGATATGTGGATTACTCCGCAGGCAGTAAGCTCGAAAGGCTGGCCCCTGCGTCTCCTCAGCAGTGTCATCCCCATGGAAATCGACTTGTAAAGGAGGCCCAGTCACGCCATCCGGGCCGCTCCAAGGTCCCTAGTTCCGCAACCGGGGAAAGGCCTCCTCTGCTGGAATGGAATGCTGAAGTTCTTGGCTTGCAAGATGTAGCTACAGGTCAGGCGTTCTCCTTGGTGTAGTACCTGACTAGATCCGTGATAGTGCATCGCCCGGGCTTCAGCACCGCTTCCAGCAAGGGCTGCACCACCTGCCGCTGGGCGAAGCCAGCTTGGGTCGCAAGCAGACTTAAACTCAAGGTCCAGGCAACGAAGACGCTGCAGCTCAGGGTAGTCTGAGTGAGATGATAGATATATATAAGTCCCACTTCACTGGGCGAAGAAGCATGGCCGCGAGGCGGTCTCTATTTGGAGGTTCAATGTGTTGCGATGCTTGAGCAAGACATGTAGCCAAACAGAGTCAGACCTGCGGCCCGCCTCAGGTCTGAAGTACCAGGTTTCTTTTAAGACACCCCCCATTCCCAAACCCTGAGGATTGAGACACTGGGTTTTAACGAAGAGTCCACTGATTTCGGCGGCTTCCATGCCATTGAACCGGTGGCTAGAACCGAAACCCCTTGCCAGTCTGAACCTTCGCCCGTCCGACCTGTCCTGCTTCAGATCCTCCACCGCCTGTCCAAAACTGCGCGCGGAACCCGATCCGCTTGAAGGGACTTGTGAGCACATCCCTGCCTAGGGCCGTTCTCGGATTTGGCGTGTCAAACCATGGGAACGCTTTGGTGAAGGGTACAGATTGAATGGACAAACCTTTCCAGGCAGGACGCTTGATGCTGGTATCTCAAACTAACTGCCCAAGCGTTTCTCGCGATGTGCGCAGGACATACTCGGACATCTACATCAAATTGCGCTGAGTCACCAGCAAGAAGTAACTCATTTATCAGGGTATCAATCCTACCACGCAGCTTTCTTCCAAAGTATCCCTTTCTTGATTGGACCAACATTGCGAAGCTGCCAGCAATTGCCGAGTATGGGAGCCAGAAATGTGCAGCGCACAAATCAAAAAGGATATCCTGATCCATCTCCCGAAAATGCAGAGACCTCCTGCCACTTGAATGGTTCTCGATCTTGGTACGTGTTGTTAGGGACCCCCTGCATTTAAACGACAGCACATTGCGCTTCTTTTTTGGGGGACTCACAAAAGGGTGGCATTCCTTTTGGTTTCTTCTTTGAAAGCCACGGCAAAGGGGCACCGAGCGTCAAAGGAAAGACGAGCTGCCAAAAAAAGAAAAAACGCCGGATTCTCCCTGCCAAGGCCAAGCCTTCTGAATCAGCTGCATGTGGTCCAAGAAGAGCGGGGCATCTTTGAGCCTACTCCCAGGCTTGCACCTCGCCCAAATGTCCAAACCCCGCAATCCTACTGATGGACGAAATCCACGCCATGCGGCATTTGGTAGGTGGTTCCCAGTTCTCATAGTGCTTCGTCCATCCCAAAGGCGCGAAGTGGATTTCGTCGCCATCCCATAGGAAGCTACCCAAATGTCCCATGAACCAAATGGGATCTTTGAGCCTTAGAGATCTAGGACAACCCGAAACACACGCGCCCTTGGAGAAGACCGAAATATAAAGGAAAATGGAAGGTGAGTTTGGGGTGTGTTTGGGGAACGTTTTGCAGATGGGTCTCTTTTTTGTCTTTTGTTCTTTTTTCGTTGTTGCTTTTTGGAAAACCAGACGAAACCCTTTCTTAGGTTGGCTTTGTAGGAAACCAAAAGAGAACCCCCCGACCCCCTCCCTCCCCCGCGCTTTTGAACGTCCCAATTCTAGAGGACACCCCAACGCTTTCCCCGGCCAAGGGGTCCCAAAACCGTTGGAGTGCTCCCAACGGACCGGACGAGTGCGTACCCTGAAGTCTCTTCAAATACATTTCCGGGCACAGGTGTCTCTTGTTTTAACAAAAATGGGTACCCTCAACACACGACACGCCCACTTGTTTACGCTTTGTGCTCAAGTGGATGCCTGTGGTGCGAGTGTTGATGTCACATCGTTTGTGAAAAGCGCCGCTTCCATTCGATTTGCCGGTTTCTTATGGACTGTCATATCATCCAACCTTGTTGCACTCCCTCTGACATAAGCACCCTTGCTAGGTGCAGGCTCGGGCAATTTCAAAACACCATAAAGCACACAATCCTAGTGGCGCACATGGTCAGTCACGCTGTGACTGTGCAGCACAGTTTCCCCACATGCGCACGCATCAGAACTAGGGACTCTCATTTGTTCGTGTTCAAATAAAACACAGCTTCCAGAAACGCACCTCCCCGCACCCAACTACACGCACTCACTTGCCTTACATCACCTCACCTCACCCACTCCGCCTCACCTGGCTATCTTGCTTGCTCGCTCACTTAACCATCACATCCCCTGCGCTGGTTGCCTCCCCCAACCAGAAAGGCCCCGAATAGCGCGTTGAGCCTGCTCTTGTATTGAGAGATGAGAGCGGCTAAAAGGTCAAACTTTTCCACGCTTTGGATCTAACCAAAGAACTAGTGCATTGTTTGGTTACACACTTGACGTGAAAACAAGACTTTCTTGCTTGGGTTACACATTATTGTTCTTGTTGGTTGGTTTGAAGGGCACCACACTTTTATGATTATTCGGAATGCAGGGTGCCAGTTGCCAACTCGGACACCATCTTCAGTAGACTCTTATTTGCACAAGCCCCGTGGACGTTTAAACCCAAAGAAAATCACTGATAATGGGTCTGGGTCAAAATGAAATAAACTATTAGGGGACCGCAGGCTTTAGTCTTTGTTTGACTCCAACCCAAACGGAAGTGGATTCGTTCCTGAGCAGTGCTCTTGGTTTCTGGAGACATCTGGGCTGTGGACTTCGAGCTGGCGGGGTCGTGGAAGCTGCGATGGTAGGGCGTCCCGACCTGCGCTTCGCGATTCAAAGTTCGGAGAAACGAAGGGAGGGTAAGACCCCCCAGACCCCATGCATCATTCTGTTTTTGTGTTACTCCCTCCCATGATTCCTCCCCCCCCCCCCCCGCAGAATGAATCATTCCTTCACTTCCCAGAGCCAGCACCCAAACCAACTGAATGTGTCGTTGCCATACTCATCGAATTTTCGAGTTAAGTTGCTATGAGTTGTTCCGCTGATCCGATGCCAGAGCCACCATGAGCAAATCGCAGCCCTTCCTCATAGCCACACAAAGGGAGGGACCCAGCATACCCAAATTGGCACAATGTCATGTATTTCAATCAATGGCGTTGATGAAGCCGGTCACATTCACCTGGAAACCGGACAAATCCCCTAAACCAATCTAATTGCTCGAGAAGTCGGTCAAACATCAGCCCAGGCCAAAACTCCCCAACCGAAGCCATGTGGAACCGTGCTTCAATGCAAATTTGTTGGTGCCAGCTCATGCATGTTGGCGCCGACTCACTCACTCAAACAAACACAACACTTCAAGGCAAACCAGAACACAGTACCTGAAAAGCCAGCCAAAAGCAAGGCGGGCAACGCGAAGCGTTTACAAATACTTTGTTTGAGAACTTTACGAAAAGCAGACCAAAAAGGCAACGCCCTTTGAAGAACTGGGGGTTTCTCAAAATGGTGGACACCCCGTTGGTATCAAAGAGGAAACTAGAGAGAAGGAAAATGCAACCACCTGAAGGAATTGGTCCAAAGTTTCAGAAGCGCCGTTCATTCCGAGCGTTCCGATTTTGGGCCGATCTTGGCCGAGCGGCGTAGCGAAGGGCGGCATCCACGAACCTGGCGGAAGGATTCGGAGCTGCAACTTGGGATGCCCGGGGCCCTAAAAATGACACGCCGAGTTCGAGCAGGATCCTTGACTAGCATCAACAAGGGATCCTCCATGGTAAATACGTCTTTCCAACAAGCCAGAACGCACCGTTTCAGTGGGTTGGGGTGGAGGTGGCAGAGTTGGGGTAAAGTTGGGGTGGGTTGCGGTGGAGTTGCAGTTGAAGTAAGTGGAAGTGGGGTGGGAGTGGAATGGCAGTGGAGTTGGAGTCAAGTTGGGGCGGAGTTGGAGTGGAGTTCGGGCGGTGTTAGAGAGTTGGAGTGGAGGTGAAGCGGACTGGGGGGAGTTGGTGGGTTGGAGTGGAGTTAGAGCGGAGTTGAGTGGAGTTGGAGGGCTGGACCCTGACTTGCTCAAGGAAAGCCATTGGCATGATTTCCTTGTCACACGCAAAGTCACTTCCAGACGGTCAGGCATCGTGCATCGTGAATGTTACACCCAAGACACTGCTTAGTGCTTGCCGTGGTACACCAAACCCCAATGACCTTGGAGCTTTTTGGACCCACTGTTAATGTGCATCAACCCAGATGCCTCACCACAGGCCGATTGCTGACCCGTTTAGGTTTGTGAGACGGCATCCCTGCCGCCATGGATGTTGCGCCACGTGATGCATGCGAACATCTTGATAAGCTTGAGGAGAATTCAGCAGGAACCCAGCCACAAATCCTCTGGTCTCGGTGAGCGCGATTGCTCTGAGTACACGGCTTTGAGTGTAGGCCAAATGGCAAACCATCTATGTCTTCCAAACCTAAAAAGGACACCTATGCCAACAACCACACAACCGGGTCCCCCGAAACTTCCCAAGGTTGGTTCTAAAACGTCCAAACTCATTCTTTGCCACTATGGTCCAAACCCAAACAGTGACATCAGTGACCAAAGTCCGAAATGGAACCTCTTCCGCAGCAGCGCTCCGGCGCCAGGCTCCTTCCGCCGCGCGGCCAGGTTCACCTCTCCATGACCAAAACGGGGCTCGGATCGGGCGAAACATGTCCCACCTAAATTTGGTTGCTCTTGACCCCCCTGCAAAAACTTAACTTTTTGGGGGTTTAGTGGAAAACACCTTTATTTCCAAAAAACTAAAGTCTAAAGATCCAACCCAATAGCAGTCAAGTAAAAGGGCGATCGGGTACGGCAGGTAAGTGGTTAGCAACCACGGTCGTAACCCACTTGGGAGACTGAAAAAACCATGGTAAGTGGGTTACCACCATGGCTACTCCCCACTCTAAGCACCCGATCGCCCCTTTAAGTACCTAACCAACCCAAGCAACCCAACCAACCAACCAAGCTAACCTAACATCCGGGGACCTCAAAGGGCCTACTCTAAAGCCTTGCCCAACTTGGGTGTTCGATTCGCCGAGCAAGTTGTTCGGTTCTAACCCACTTACAAGGCCCCCGTTCAGTGGGTTTGACCTTGGTATTGCGGCGTTACACCCCAAATGGCAAACCACTTTCAAACTGGGCCGAACGTCAAGTAAGAATCTTGAAACCTCAAAAGGAATTCTATTGAGACTCAAATCCTTTCAATGGAAACTCTGACCCCTCCAATGGAGGGTCTCATGATGCTGGGGGTGGTAAGCTTTAGCAAAGCTCCACAAGTATTTGGACATGTCCGGAGACCTCAATGGAACTACGGTTTTGGATTCCTTCGGGGTGGATGCTGAAAAGGGGGCACCTGACTCCATGGTCATCATCACTGCTGGCCAACATGTCTACTAAGAATATCTAAGGATTTGCTTCACCATGCACAAAACACCAAAGAAACAAGTGGATTTGACTCTGACCCAAAAAGGAAACTGAGCAGCACCGAACACCTGCTGAGATTTGATTCTACCGATACGATGTAAACACATATTCATGTAGGTCTTGCAACCCTCACAGCGAGAAATTTATGAAACGCCCCCCGCAAAAGTGACGCCAGAGTGGGCCAGCTGTGTGTGTGTGTGTCTTAAAACAGAGGTATCCAAAAAATGGGCTTGTTTCCTTTCCGCACTCAAAATGGTCTTCGATCAAATTTCTCATCTGAGGTCCAAACATGTCCCTTGCACCTTGCAAATTCACGGACATTTTCTGGGCTCTCCTCAGATCCCCTGCTAACATTTAGCTCTTGGTTAGCCTTTGGTGGGTTAAATGGACACCCTGGAAAAACCGAAGGGGATAGCGGGAACCATCAAGTTGTCCATCTCTTCTGTCGTTTTCTCTCTGCACATTTGTGTCCAAGCACTCCACCAAATTGAAATAAACCACAGTGTGGACCGGTCAACCAATCCAGCAAGCAAAATCATCCACACCTTCTAACCACTCCAAATCACTCCAACAAATCGAGCTAAACCCATAAACCAACAGATTCTAACACAGTTTCACTACGTCAAACCTCCTAGCCGGTGAAACAGAAATTCTTCTTAAATTCAACCCAACAGGCTTAGCAAAACCTGCAACACCCATCAGCTAAACCCATGTTTCTGTTTCAATCCAATAAGCTCACATAAACCCACATAAATCCACATAAACCCACATAAACCCACATAAACCCACATAAACCCACATAAACCCACATATCATATTCCGGCAAACCAAACCACATGTTTTCACCCCTTTCACCGTGACACATCTCCCAGTTCAACGGGTCGCTGAGTCCGAAGCCTCCAGGCACCGGATTTCCATGGCCTCCCGGAAGGGCCACCGCGCCTGGACGCGGCCGGACTTGCCGTCGAATGGGGGGAGTGGAATTGATCTTCCTCTACCCTGGTGCCCAGGTCTTCTTTTTGCCTTTGCGACACAGTGTCTGTTCGACGCAGCGATTTACTGGGGGGGAGGGGGAAAGAAGAAAGAAGGAGAAGGCCCCACTGGTGCGTAGGTCCTCTAGTAGAGAGGATAGCACTGTGTTCCCAAAAAGTTAAAAGTCTGCCAAAGACCAACCAAATAGCCATAACGTGACGAGGATCTCAAACATCTTTTGTGAGACCCGGGTCAATGAGATGTATCTGCAGATGTGGTGTGTTTCCGGCAAGTGAAATGGGGCTCTGGGACTTCAAGCCGCAAGGAACACCATGATTTAAGGTTCCCCCCTACATAGTTATTATGGGCGTGTGTTTTCGTAGGGGACCCACCAAAATGGCGCAACGGATTGTCTTTGGTCGCTCCTTCAAACGTTCGGCCACGTTAGTGGTTGGCCACCTGGACTATAACGCACCATTGACTGCATTCATCCACTTAAGAAGGCTTGCCGTGGTTAGAACTCAGGTTTCTGACAGCTTGACACCTTGTCTGAGCACCCAAGTCCCAACTCCAAAGTGACGAGCCACCCAGCCACCCACACGGCCCCCGCGTGCCCCGTGGCCTGCTGGGCCTCCGCATCATTCAGACGCTCCAGGAGCTGCGTCTTCAAGCCCACCTGACGTCCATGTGCAGGGTACAACTCAGTCCGCGATTGGAAAAACCAAAAAACATTTGGTCAAATACACTTAGATCCGTATATTTACATGCTAATCCATGCAAATAAAACTCAATTGGGCTTTCTTGAAACTCAAACCGCTTGATTGTTATATGTCAAGGCCACACGAAAATAAGGCTGTTCACATTCAGTCCAACAATCTAAACATATAACAACAAGAAACATCGCGCTGAACAAGTGATGTTCCAGCTCGCCCCACGAAGACCTCACAAATGCGTTGAAAAGGCTGGCATTGAACTTGGACATGATCCCCGAAACCCCATCGATACATCGCGAAAACCAAGGCCTTCTTTAAGGCTCCCGCCCCCCCCCTCCCTCACCCAGGCCCCATGAAGGCCTGTAAGCACCGCCGGATCCAGACAAGAACTGCTCTTGAAAGCAACATATTACAACAACCAACCGAAGTAACACATCACCTCTTATGAAGCAACTCACTCCTGCCTAGTTGCGCCTTGTGAGGAACACAATGGAAGCTTTGGGCAAACGAACCGGGGAAGCTGTCACTCATGGATCCTCGTCTCCGTTCAGCATGTGCAGAGTTGTGTGCATTGCGAGCCGACGCTACGGGGATCTTTGCTGACACCTAGTCTGTGAGTCTGGTTGGGTGAAATAGCTCTGACACTCTGCGCTGTTTGTTGCTTTTAGAGATCAGTTTGGACGTTTGGATGCACAGCTGTCAATGTAGAACCCAAACAGAAACAACTAGGTGCCTTGATTAGTTGTTGCACCGAAAGAAACCACCCGCAACAAAAAGGAAGCCTTTGGCCATCAAGTTCATTCACGTGTTCCAGTAAATATATGACAATTGCACACATGGCGCCACACCACACAATTTATATTATCATTTCAAAAATTAAGTAAGAGTCCCTGACTAAAGGATCTTCATCATGGTTAGCTTGTCTTGCCTCCAAGTGAGCTCGCCATAACATTGGCAAACAAATGTGCGACATGAGGAACGATGATGTTCATGATGATGATGATGATGACGATGATGACAATACCATGTATCTGTGTATGTATATATATATATATCCATAAACACGTACATAAACTAATATAAGTAACCTATATATATATATATACTATGTTTCTCAATGTCTTGTTATTCTTGTTTTTATTGGTGCTGCCTTGTTTGTGGGTTGTTGGGTAGATCCCGTGTATTCACATCCCCCGCGCGCGACCCAATCCTGAGAGCCGTCCACCAGGATGAAGGCTTTCTCCGGCAACGCCTATTGAAAGCCAGGGCAAACAGGGTCTCGATCAACGCATCGAGCAACTTGCTGGTACGATAGTTAGGGAATGACCCACGGTGTGGGGAATGAACCGGAAGTGATTCCCGAAAAGGAAACCACATGGGGGATGGTTTGTAGGCGGTTCGGTTCCTTCATTCTTTGCTGAGGACCAGCAAGAGACTAAGCTTTGGAAATCAAAGACAAACACATGGTCACACCTCTTGCCCAGTTCTCGCTGCCTATCCCAAGTACTCTATGCCGGTGGGAGCAAAGAGTGGCAAATCTCTGCAAAACTCTGCACGCAATCAGATCTCAATCAGCAAGGCAAAGACGCGCTCGCCGTGAGGCGTTGGGTGGCCTATAAAATGTGCTTAGAGGAAACACCTCAAGGTTCGACATACGTTGCTCAAACCACGCTTCAGGTTGCGCGAGAAAGCTGAGGCTCCCATTTGGCGCTCTAAAATACTTTCTGGTTGCAAGGATGTCACAGTTGTGGTCTACATGCAATCAAGTATCATAGGTATCGTTCAAGCAAAGTTTCTGGGTCAAGTGCTCTGTCACCTTGAGCTTGCCAAGTCACTGTCACAAGTGTCAAACGTCAAGCGCCAACCTAGGCCCACTCCTGAGCTGCCTCGAAACTGCTCTGTGACTCAGATTGCTGTTTCGTTTTCCCCCCGCGGGAGCGATAAGCTGCTTGTGCGTGTGAACATTGTCACTTCGCTTGTACCAACTATGTGAACACCACCTTTGACCAAGCTTCAAGGTTCTTGTTCGGCCCCGAAATCAACAACAACGTGTCTGCATGTGCTACGCGCAATGCACCCAGTACAGTTTCAGAGGTACGAGCAGCGTCCTATGTGCTGCCAAGCGCTCCCGTCCTGGTCGCCGGCCACATCCTGCGACGCACGCTGCGCTGTTCGCTCTGCAAGTCCCAGCTGACGCACCCCGGGGGGCCAGGCGGTGCACCAGCTTCCCCACTAAAAGTTTGACTTTCGTCTTGGGTGCTGTAGATCTCCCCCAGCAAACTGTTTAACTGTTTGCTGGTTAAAAGGAAATATGAGCGGAATCCAAAAACTTAAAGTCCAAAGATCCAACCTGGCAGTAGAGTCGTCGTCCTGGCGCCTGCTTAGGGAGCCAAGAGGAAACAACTACTATGCAGTGGTTGGCGATGGTTTCGAAACACCCTGGAGCATGTCGATCTCAGCAAAGCAAGCATGACATGGACGTACACCCCGTGCCTCGCCATCCTCGGTAACACCTTGGTTGCGACTTCACGACCACTAGTGGCTGGGCTTGGTAGAGGATCTCATTCTTCTCTGATCAAAATGAGCAGGAAACATGGCTAGGACGCCTGGGCGTATCAAAACTGGGCTGTCCTCAGGTCCCTTGCTAAAAGTTTAGCTTGTGGCTTAGATGGAAACCTCCACTAAACCAACTGAAACTTACTAAAACAATTAGAAACCGGTTTCGGACCGGATGGCTGGAAACCACCAAGAAGAAGCAACCTTTCAGAAGCTCAAAACACCTAAGCGCCTGGGCCCCAGATTTGGTTTGCGCGAAAAAGTTGCTCCGGAAACCAAGTAATTGCCCAGGTTTTGCAGGAGTGCTCTTAGTCATAGGTTGGGTGCCAAAACTGGATGACCGCCATATGTTTGTTACGATTTCCTGATGGTCGCCTTGGGAACCGCCCCCAAGAAAGGCGGCTGCCTCGTGACGCAGTCGATGGATTTCCACCGCCCGACTGGGGGCCAAGCCTTTGGGCCAGCGGGGCCAGTTGGCGGTCCTGAGAAATCGAAGCACCAAGAGGTCCCACGATGTGCAACCCTAAGGGTATGTGGCTGTGGGTCAAGACCAATGGTACCATTTTGGGGTAGGTGCACCACCCATTTTAATCAATTTTAGTGGGGAGTGGGATGTTCACTGTGGGTATGGGGTTTTGACCCATGGCCATGTAGTTGTTGATGGACAAAATTGCACAACCATATTGGATGTGTAGTTCCTTGGTTATGGTATGTCAAGGTGATGTAGTTGATAGGGACCCAAGCCGGTGGACAACATTCGGTGGTTTCAAAGTTCCAGACCCTGGTCCCCTTGAAGTTCACTGGATTTCCGCAAGTTGATCATTTTGTCTGGTTTCCATTGAAACCATCGCCCTTTAGGTGAAAACAAAATGACATGAGGGGATCCCTGGAGAGAAAATCCCTAGCGAAACTCTGGCCACCGATACTTGAATGCACAACCAACTTAGTAGGGTGCAACCATGTTCATACAAGATGTCCAAAACCTAACATGAGAGGTCCCATTCCACTACAAACCAGGTGGTTTGCAACTTGCGGAAACCTCGTCCCCTTAGCATGGTTCTAACCAGGACCTACCTTACCATGGTAACGGGTTATCCACCAGCCCTAACCATTGGTCCCCTCATAACCCACTGGCCTCATGTTGGTCCAACATCCAGGAATCCAAGGGCCTCGTTGCACGCTCCACGCGGTCGAGGCCGGCGCCAGCGGGCCCAGAGCTCGTCATCGTCCAGGCGCGCCCAGCCGCCCAGCACCTGCGCGTCGGACCGGCGGACCGGCGGACCGGAGGCCACGGCCGAAGCCGTGGGTGGCGTGTCACAGGAGAACCGAAGGAATGTTCAACCTGTTTGGGTGGGGTCGAAGGGATTTTTCCCGCTGGGGTGATAACGAAACGTTGGTCAAGGTGCTGGTCGGGACAAATGAAACTGGCCACTTGTGCGTGGACTTCCTGTGAATATTTGACGCAATTGGGACCTCCCTTCGGGGCACCCCTTCAACGTGCAGCGCAAAATGATAGAGCCCAGAAGAGCCTAATTTGGGCAACCACTCATCTATCCAGGCAGTCCACATGCCTCTCTTGGATTTTTGCGCAGGTGCTTGTTGGCAATCGTTTCTTGAAACATCCGGCTGGCGATTGAAGCAGCATTTGCCAGAGATAGTCTAGTCAGGTCTGAAGACTTGCACCGGTGCTGGAAGTGGGCCTGGAGGAACCTAGGACACGCGAAGCAAAGGAATGCCGCCTCAAGTCGGGATCTGGGCCTCAGCTGTGAGATCTGACTCAGGATACCTTTCGCTTTCCCAATTCAACAAAGTGAAGAGTGATCAAGCAAACACAAACACACGCACACACACACACACACACACACACTCTCACACACACACACGTCATCCCAGCCACAATCGGTTGTGAGCTTGCTATGAGGTGTCTTCATGTGAGCCACACACAACATACACGACTTCCCTCATGGACATGGGAAAACCAGTGAGTGATCCTGCTGTGTGCTTGGAATGCAGAGAGTCGGTCATGTCCCTCTCAAATTCAACGGGATATTTCGGCCGAAGCTCAGGGGACGCTCCCTTAGCGGAGGATTTACCCACGACCTCTCCGTGGAGAGCTGTGAAATGCTTTCCGGCGGCGATGGCACCAAGTCCTAAGTCTGAGTAGCTTGCGTGAAATTGCCTCGGGGAGGGCGACCGTCGCTCTGCCTGGCCCTCTATGATTTTACCATTTTCAAAGCCGCCTCCCCCCCCAAGTTTGCTAAAGTGGCAAGTTAAAAGGACATCACCCCCAACTTCTGACTTTTCCACCCCTGTGAGAGGAAGCCGCCTGCACAAGGGAGGCCATCTTCCAGAAAATGTTGACTCGCAAATGCTGGCTGTTCGGCCACCCAGGAAAGGAGACATCCTCTTTAACTGGATCTTTCGCTTGGGCTTCCTTCTGTTCAATTCGAAGGAGCACCCTCAAAAAGCGGGGGTTTACTCAGTAAACCGCGCTTCTTGAGTAAACCGCGCTTTTTGAGGTTTCTAGTTGACTGTTTCCCCCGAGAACCCTCAGAAAGCTGCGGTTTACTGCTTTCCCCCTTCTTTTCCATCCCGAAAAGGGCACAGAAGCGCCCTCGCCACGGGCCTCGGAGATGCGCAGCAGGGTGCCCGGGTGGATGGTGTCGAGCACCGCCGCCGTCGCGGAGGGCGCTGAGCGGATGGCCACCTGGACTTGGCGTCGTTTCTGCTGGGAGATGGGTGTGGCTCAGAATTAAACAGGAAGGGCAAACCGCAGGTTTTGGTCCATGTTTCCACCTACCAGGGTTCCATTTTGGTACCGGTTTTTTGAGCAGACGGGTGGAACTATGGGAAACCAGAACGTTTGTTGGTATACAGGGGGAATCATCATTCTAGGGTTTCTTGTGTGGCGCAGGATTTCGTCCATCCACAGTATGAGTGGCTCGTCTTTTTGAGCAGAACCCCGGAAACGACGTTTTCCAGTTTGTTCCTAAACAAAAAACAGGGGGTGCCCCCAAAAAAGACACGCCCAATATGAATTCCACTACCTCCCAAACCCATCAAAACGGGGAAAACGGGGGAATCATGGGGAAAGCAACCTCAGAAAAAGGTGGCTACGTGTTTCTCCCCAGCTGCGAAGAAGCTTTGCGTCTCCGCCCCTTGTCAACTCGGTGGTTCAGAGCAGCTGTCAGGGTTCCGGAGGGTTCGGCAGGGGGTTCGGTTGGGGTACCTTGTCTTGTTTCCACCCCCCAGATCATCCAGCAGGTTGAATGGTAAATATGATGCGCAACGAATCTGGCGAAACTACTCAAAGGGTACTGTGCTTTCCCTGCAGAACAGGGAGTGAGGTTTGGGGAAACACCAAGGCAAGGCGTCAAAACAAGCCGGGCACCTTTTGCTGCGGGTGCAAACCGATGCAACAAGGAAACAAGGATGCCCATAGTTCTGCTTCAAACATGGCAAACCAGAAGAGACATTGCAACTGCTATGGTTAATAGGTATACAACTCGATTTGAAGCACTCGCTCGGGCCCCACCCTCGGCCCGTGGATGCATTTGTAGACGCCGCCGCTGCTGCTTTCTGCCTGACAAATCCGATTGGCCCTCATTCAAATGCCAGGGCATCAGGAAGATGCTCAACATGTGCAAGTCAAGAAGAAAGGCTGCAGCTATTGAAACTGAGAGAAGCTAAGTAATGCAAAACAACCTAAAATCCGGACAATTGTTCGCGTGATTATTGCGTTCACAGCCCTGATGCACTGCGCGGTAACATATATAACGTGCTTGTCTCAAAAGTGGGACCTGACAAATGATGCTTTCCTTTGGTGATAGCCTTCATAGAAACGTACCCCGAAAAACAACGCAAACATCTACGTATAAATATATATATATATATACATTGTATGTCATGTAGTGAGTTCCAACTGCTTGTGAAAGTCCAAGGGAAAAGCGATCTGGCACGCTCGCTGCGAGGGCGACATCCTAAAAGGTACCCTCCAAACAGTGGTGTAACGGCAAACCACCCTCACAACGTTCTCTTTAACGGACCCAAACAAATCGCAGTGAATGAGGCTCGATCTTCTTACAGTTCCTCGCACTACATTGGCAGGACCACGTGATGATTGAAACGGGCTTGGGTATGGGAAACCCCGTCCACTGCCGGCAAACATGAGATCGGCAACGGCAAGCGCAGAGGTTTCCAGTTGACAGCAATCATGGATAAAGACTCCGCTGCAGATTACAGAACCCAAACAACCACCACATATGCGACCATGTTTTGGAGGAACCTCCTTTTGGAATCCCCGCCGTTTTGGGGTTCCAGGATAGCTTTTGGACGCGCGGCATTCCACAAACAGTTTTCATGGGTTTTCGTGGGTATTTTTTCTGAGGCTCGGTACCCCTAAGGTTGGTTCAACCGATGCCATTTTGAGGGGGGTCACTTGTGTTTTGACAGATACCCTATTTGAGGGTACCTTCCTTTTGTGGTTGAAAGAAAAAACAAAAGGACACCACCTACTTTGCCACATATACATATTCACCAACCCTGCTTTGGCACGCCAGCCTCCCCCCCCCCTCTCGGAAGGTGCCTTTGGCACCGCTCGGGCAGGGTACGCCTCGAATCGCAAGATTCGAAGCTCTGAAGACCTTAAAACCAGTCCGACCCATGTGGCTGGCTCTCTCTCTCTCTGTTTTTGAGGGTAATTTCTGCTTCTCAGCTTGAAGGGAAACCAAACGGAAGATCACCATTTGGGCATCCCTCTACCTTGACACAGACCCATATTATATCTATTGTCTCAGAAGTTGCCACTTTCAAGGAGTTCCCCTTCGGATCACACGGCGCATGTGGTAAGCAAAGCCCCAGTTCTGACTGGATAACATCGAATTCTTCACCAACCCACAAAGGGAGCCAGCTTGGGATTGCACGAGTTCTGATCACAATATGTCCCAAAGGGTCCTCTTGCCTAGGAGGTACTGAACGGCCCTGTTACTCCCCAAAAGCCATTCCCAGGTACTTGGACCCTCTTGAAACGTCTGCCCATGTGCGCAGTTCCTGCAAACTCGACCAAGGACGCCAAGCGCGTGGAAACATCTCACTGAAGTGAACAACTCTGAAGACATCTAAGAGGAAAACAAGCTGGATGCAGATGCATGCCAACTATGTGCACCACCAGGTTCTAGGTCCACTTCAACGACATAATTGCCCTTCATTACATGTTGATCTAAACGGCATCAACGTACAGCCAGATAAGTGCACGTTGGGCCTTTAAATGTTTGTTCGACAATTCTGCAAACCTCCTATCTAAAAATTATCGGATGCTGAGCTAAACCGAGAAGAACAACCTAAGTGAGCGCCTGCGGACCTCCAACGCCACAAAGGGTGGGGTTGCTGGAGTTTGAATTTCCGGGGATCCAAGATGTGTCGAACAGGAGATGATCTCCACCGAAAGCGTGTCGAACAGCGGGAACCCTGAAGTCCTGTGTTGTCTTACCCGTCATTGCTCGCTCGCCATCCCCCCTCTGTCACCCCCGCCCCCCCGGCACTGGCTGCTTTTTTCTCCAGCTCCGCCGCTCTCGCGGGACCGTAGGCCTGCCGGTGAATGAGACTCAAAGAACGTGGCAGCGCCCACCTCGGTCCCTCGGTCTCAACTGTCTTCACGCGCAATGGCAACCTAAACAATTTAGGTGCGTTCATCCTAAATGTCACCCTGTGTATCCGCGCTTGGAGACAAACTAGAAATTTGGGAGATTCCCTTGGTTCCACAGAAAATTGCAACCCAGCTTGTTTGTTCC